GTGAACTCATAACGATTTCATAGTACTTTCGTTGCATGTGCAAACGCAATGCGAATACATGCTAATTTGAAACATTTGTGATACGTCTGACATACATTCAAAATTAATATTTCAGTGAAGATATGTGCTTATGTGAGGTGTCCTTTCTTGGATGACAGATAAACTTCAAATAGTGCATTTTGTTACTTATGTTGAGGGCTGCCTCCAGTGAAAAAATATTGATGGTTGATCTGGCCATTCGTCGCTATTGGAAAATACAGCTGTAGAACGGTTCAACTAAACGAAGTAATATTTCGACATGAAGTATCGTTTATGTAATATCAAAGTGAAGTTCAACAATGTGGGTGTGGGTATGGATGTCTGTGTGTGGGTGTATGTGGATGTGTGGTGTGGTTGTGAGTGTGGGTGTGGGTACCGGTGTGGTGTAGATGGTTTCGTAAGACACCCACAGCCACATCCGCATCCATGCACTCCCACGCCCACACCCACACCCGCTCTTTATCTTTTGTCCTTATGGAGTTATTCAAAAAATGCCCACGGCCATTTAATTCTGAAATGGACAGTATTGGTACAATCCTATTCTGCACTGTCGTAACAGCATGCAGTGGTCCATATACTTGGTTTATACCAGGTCTTGAGAGTTTCGATGTTACCATTTATACAACCACAAAAAGTGGTACTTATCCTGTGATTATTTTTATGACTGGATTTGGCGGTCTCGTGCCGGCTTTTTCATATTCAGACCTATTAACAAAAATTGCTGTTCAAAAAGTTATCGTCATTGCTCTGAGTAAGATACAAAATATAACAGCAGAATATGTTGAACAAAAATTTGTCCAATGTATGATATTTATCATGGATCCAACGAAAGGAGCGAAATATTTATTTAAAAACAATCTATTGACAAAAAATGTTGTGCCTGATCTTGAAAATCAATTAGCATTTCTGGTACAGTCAGCTGGATGCCATGTACCTACTTTGTGTCTGACAAAGCGTTGTGGTACACAATATACTCAAGTAAAACTTCTTATACTAATGAATCCTGTTGACGGCAGTAGCCCATATGATACGAATGAAGCAGATAGGTATTATTTTATTGTTAGCTGTATACACGAATAATGATCAAATTTTTTAGGTTACATCACTCATCCACCACAAAACTTGACATTCAACACGTCTGGGTGCGTGTGTGGGATGGGTTTGGGTTTGGGTGTGTGGGTGGGTGGGGTGTGGGTGTAAAATGTGACCATTATCTTCAATGACACCCACACCCACCCCACACCCACACTCACACCCACACCCTCCCTTGAATAGTATTTTAAAATAAGAAGTGAATCGGTTGAATATGAATGCTTTATTTAAATAATGGAATATTATGCTACACGAATAAATGTTTACATGCGCAAACCATTAAAGTAGAATATATTTAAAATTTATTTTAAAGGGGAAATTTTGCGGCACTTCGACAATATTCTGTTTCATATAAAATAAAGAACCAAAAAGAAAATGAATATGGAGTAATGACTTCTCATATTTACTCCTGTTAAATCGAAAATATCTTCAATGAATGCTATTCTCAAGAATTTTCTTTTTGTTGCTTCACTACTAAAGGGTGTGGATGTGGGTGGGTGCGGACCATGTCTGTGGGTATACGATTTTATGCGCTGACACTCACGCTCACCCTGTTGCTATATATTTTTATTTTGTTGGCACTTAAACGCACATCGTCCCTTGGCTAATCTTTCAATGAACAATGGCAGTACATTTTTTCATAATGGAACGAAATGTTTATATATTTTTTTTATGAGAGCAGAAAAAAAAAGGGTGGTTAGTAGAATAATCAGTTTGCGTGATATTGTAACAGTCCTCTAAATAAGACAAAGAAAAATATTACGAGAAGTGTAGAGATAGAAAATTGTTGCTGTTTTTAGCATTGTTGTTGTATAGTTGTATACAAACTCTTGTATCGAGCTAAATCATTTAGATTTAATATATCGTCAATGTGAACTGGATCTTTTGTACTAAAATTACCTCCCCATCGAAGTCCATTTTGTTTGACTCCATCGATGAAACATTTAACGTCAGCTGATAAATTTGTTCCTCCTAGACAAGCACTATTGCATATTGTTCCATCCTTTCCATAAACGACACTCATATCGATGGCGTGTCCAACATTATGATTACTTAATGTTGCGGGTTGGACAATTGCACCAAACACAGTCGAACCAGGTTTTCGATAAGAGCTTGTAATGTACAATTTAACATTACAACGACTTGCAACCGTACAGATACTATTCATTGACGATCGAAAACCATTTTCGATGGACAGCTGTGATCTACGACTATCTAAACAGGTAGTTGATCGATAGATCTCAATTGGGCATGCTCCATGAGAAACGACGAGTAAGTTTATGCATACAGCAAAAGCTAAGAAACCAAGTATCGTTAGGATTCGAAATGTGAAGAAGCATGGATGAAACCTCCTTTATATATATTTTGTTCTATTGGGAACAATGAATGATCGTGATACACATTATTTCCAAATTTACGGTTAATCATTTCATGATGAGAAATTCTGCATTGAAAAGGATCAATTAGATAGATTCTCAATAACTGGTTGAAAAGCAATGATGATGATAGCATGTGTGTATGTCTTTACTTTAAAATGTTAACATTAATCCGTATAATAAGCATATGATTGTTATAATGAATTTTCCAACCATTCGTTGATTATTCTTCATGTCAATTGTTTTGCTTTGGGATTTATCATATTACTTTAACAAGAACTAGTAAAAATATGACATTAAACAGTTTTGCAGGCCGAAAGAGCCAAAAGCGAAACAACTCATCGTTTTCTTAAAAGAAGACCAAACATTTTATGTACACAGGAATAAGAAGTATGATTCTTTTATGCAAGCCATTCTTCTATATGATATTGTAGTCTAATTAAATTCGAATCAAGCTTGTGAATTCAAGGTATGTGTGTCTGTCCGCAAACAGAATATTCTCACCCACTTCCCACACCCAAAAAACATTTCACATAAGAGGAAAATCTCTGTTTAGCAATCATCCAGATCTTGCTGTTTCATATGACAGAATTGGTGTGCTACATTACTGCATGGGTCACTACTCAAAGCACTTGAATTTTATGAAAAAGCACTGCTATTTGTAAGAAATAACTTCTAACAATTTATCGTTTCATTAAAACATGCGATAAATAACATCAGAGACGTTGAAGAAAACATTTAAGTGTTATTTTTTCTGATGATGACGTGGGTGTGAATGTGAAACTCTCAAATGGCCTTTACCAAGTCCTTCTCTATACTTCTATTAATGAAGAAATGTTAATTATTAATCAGCTTGAATAAAATAAAGAATAATTTTTTTTTTTAATAATATAAACAATGAATATTTCGATATTGTAACAATAAGAATATTAGATAAACCAGAGTCGTTTTATTTAAGATAGAGTGGAGAAGAAAGTTTAATTGCATAGATTTGCAAACAGCGTCTCAGTTTAATCTAATTTTTTAGGAGTAAATATCTATTAAAGTAAGCAAATTGCTATGTTCTAATGTCTTCGGTTTATCTTTCAATAAATTCGAGCTTAATACATTTATCTGAATCTAATTATAAAGACTAAAATTATATTGGAAGAAAAAAATCAAAAGTGACTTACAAGGAAACACTCCCAGATGCTAGAGCGCTTTTCAGTCAAGGTTTTCTCACATCTTGTAGTTCATAGTGAGCTATGTCTATGGTAAACTGAGTTCGGCTCCCGACTTGTTTCTGAGGAGATATCGAGCTCCCAGTGAATTTTCTCTACAGTACGCCTACATTGGTAGCAAAGCTATACTTTCGAATTTTGACCTGAAACTTTGCCTGCATAAAGTCTTCAGCTAAATTAGCTTGCATAAAAATTTTCAGAGGTTTTGAGTGAAGTATTTCCAAGATATGAAACTATCAAGGTGTAGTCGCTTCTTCATAAATAATTTATATATTATGCATTTTTTTTCCGAACTTCGTATCTTAGAGAGATTTTGTTCAAGACTTCTGAAATTTTTTATGCAAGCTAAAAATGATTGAATGATTCTATTCCATGTAAAAAGCTCAAGGAAAAAACCAACCTGTACTTGATTTTGGTCTATCTAAAGCATCATTAGTCAATGAAAATCGAACGATTATGATAATCAACTTTACTCTTACTTTTTGAGTCTTCTTTTTACGGGTGATATTGTTTTTAAATGAACGGGAAAAAAAATCTACATGTCATACATTCCACTGCATACTGAACTATCCTATAATTCACTCATCGTGTAAACTTTCATGCACAGTTCTGAACCATATTTTCACTTCATCTGTATTCGCTTCGTGTGTTATTTTTCTATATAGAACCAATAGTGAGAACACGCATGTATACAAAATCTCCAGTATTCTATATGCCTTGGGTAAATCATGTTCATCATTGATCAACAGCCTACAGATTTGACTGTTTGAGCTATGACTTTTGCTAAAATATAGATTGATGTTTTAAACCCCTCATAATAGAAGACTCTCTTGACAAAACGTTTGAAAAACTCTTTTTTAGATTTTTCTAGTCTTACGTTCAATTATGACGACAAAAAATTTTCGAACTCATCGAATGATTGGAAGAGAGACTGTACCGATTTGAAGGGAACCAAGAGAAGCTTGAAATTTCGTGTTTCCTCTTAAATACTATTGTTCTTTATATGCCATAATATTTTTCTTATTATTCTAAAATGAGATTATACCATTTTTAATACGAAAGAGTCAAATGATACGTTCAAACACTAAGTTTCAAGTGTTCATTGAAGTTTTTTAAACTGTTTATTATCTCTTTCTTTGCGCTGGTATCGTTTCAGTTCTAAACTTTAGTTTTTCTTTCCTTAGAATTCGAGTAAAGTCATCAAAATCACTAAGTATTCTGATTAAAAATATTGTCGCTATCCCGCCTCATAACTTACATTTATCGCTCTAATTTAATTAGAATCTTATGCATAATTTTGGTGAATATGAATAGCACCCGATTTATTGAGTATTACACAATCAACTTTTTACACAGATTTCTGTCAACTTTTTTTATATCCAAAGCTTATTCATATTGCTCTTTCAGTAAAGATGTGTAGATCTCTGTACTTTCACTAACTTTAATAGATATATTTTGGTTCTTCCATAGAAATTAACGTACAATCTACGGATACAACTTAAGATGATCATAGAAATTTAATAGAACAAGTAGCGTTTTTTACGATACTAGAAAAAATTGCGAGTGAAATTTTGAAAGAAATAAAAATTCGAAACACGATGCAGTTGGTGCTAATAATCTCATGAGAATTGTTGTGTTCTATTTATTCTAGGACATATTAGTTCATCATTCTTTACTTAATCCGTTAGCATTGCAAAGAGAATGTTTTTCATGTATTTAATAGAATTCAAATCCTATCTCATCAAAGTCTGCCACAAACTGCGTTGGAGAAGGAGAAAAATTCTGTATCCGCTATGATCTTTGATGACATTCTGAGGTGTCTGTGATGGTGTTTAGAGGAAGGGTAGGGGTAGTGGGTGGATCCAAGTTATTTTCTTAATATACTTTAATATCTGTTTTATGTTGTGTTTCATAGAGTAAGTTACCTACACGAGATATTTGCCATAAGAACATCATGATTCATGATTATATAATCTCGTAAATAGACATTTAGCAACTAATGTTTTACGAAAACAGTAAAGTAAATTCAAAAATTTTAGATGAAATCGGCATTGGAAGATCTGGTGCCTTTTCAAGTGAGGGGAGAGAGATAGTTAGTTCAATTCCTAATTTTGAAGCCACCGTTTGTTTTAGAACTTATTTTCTTTTTCTTCTATGTTTACTTTGTTTAGATTATTTGTAGCTTTCGCATTACAGAATGAGTGTGAGCATGGAATGTGTAGGTGCGACTTCTTTCTTAACCCATATCCATATCTTTTCATTTCAATTGATTTCTTCAAGAATATTCTCAGTTTAATAAATAATAGACATTGTGCATCATTGATAAGTGATCATCTTTAATTTCAATTTTTGAATTATTCAAATGACTAAAACAATCAGGATTTCTTCATTTTTCATTTCATGAAGTTCAAAATTTGATCTTTGATTCGCTGAATCATCATTCTGTTATCATCAATTGCCTACAGATACATTGACCTGAATCTATTGTAGATGTAAAATTAAATTTCACTTCTATTATTTATTATACAATCAAATCTAAAGTTAATAGTAATATAAAAAAATAAATTAGTTTTGTTAGTTCATTATGCATTCTGTCCCATAAATAATGCCTTTTCCATTGCATTTATACTTTTCTTTAAATTTTCACGTTTTTGCTGTTGATCGAATGGTTCACGCATCCATTCAAACAAATTAGCCGATGTAAATGCCGAATTCAGTTTTGAGTCGAGTACAAGAGCACATTGAGTAATAAACCAATAATAACAAAGTTGAGAGACATGATCAACAATACGCTTTTCAACTACCCGACAGTAAGCTGATATAGCAATTTGAATATCTAATGCTGCTTGATGTTCATTTGAAAGACCACTCACATCTATTGCAAAATCATTGATAGCAAATGTCGATGAAACTCTCGTTTTGCCATCTAACAAAGAAGAACAATAGTCGATATGCATACATTTTATTTATAGAGGTAGAACTTACGTCGTTCAACACTATTAGTATATTCTTGAAATTTATCTTTGATTTTGTTCACTGTATCCATATAATAATGATTAAGTGTAAATACACGTTCTTCAATTTCAAGCATCGTTGTAATATCATTACTACATTTTTCTTCACTTTTATCGATAGTACATAAAATAATATCAGTTAATTTATGTGTTAGTTGATATTTATAGCTTGTTTCTTCAGTAAAAACTTGATTTAATATTTTAATTAATATTAATTTCAAATATTCGGTAAATGATTGAATTAAATCTTCACATGGTTCTCGAAATTTGCTTTGTTCAGCACGAAACAGTCGTTCAATAATGCTAAATGATGGAAAATTAGGTAGAGCAACACCAGCATTTTCTTCAAGTAGTTTTAATACGACTTTTTGATATTCGGATGTAAAGAAATTTTTAAAGGACTTATGAAGTATTTCTCTACATTCTTTTTGTCGATTATATAATTGAAAGGCAATACGTTCATCGTATCGATCGTCAGATGTTTGTTTATGAGTAGTTGTTTGTGATAAATGAGGTTTGTTAAATGTTGGTTCTTCAATTTTCAATTGCATCTCATTATTGTATATGCCATGTACACGCGCATTAATGATTTCACGATATTTTTTGATTAAATCTGTATATAATGCCCAGCAATCCATTTCAGACGTAACCGGTGGTGGCATTTGCTTCAATTCATATTTCTTGGACTTGAGTTCCTTTTTAAGTTCATCTATTATTGATGGAAGAGTTGAACGAATACGTTCTTGTTGAATTAAAGCAAGTCGTTTTACTAATTGTTCACTACCAAGATATTGTTCTGGTACATCTTCAAAAGCTTTATGAGAACGAAAAAATTGTTTTTCTCGTCGTCGCATTTCATCAAATGGAATATTTTGATCAATTTCTTCTTGTGTACGATTAAGTATAGCTACACAACCAAGTTTGAGTGCCATTGAACCTGGTCCAATACCTTGAAGTTTTTCTTCAATACCTTTGTCATATTTATCAATTTTTGATACAGCAATTAATTGTCGTTCACCTTTTAACATAGATAAGAATTTGACAACAGAAAAAAAAAACAAATTATACATTCTTACAATGTGGATCAGTTTTTTTTGCAAGTTGGATCGATTCAGAAGTTGTGAAATCCACAGATGATGGAATCACATGCAAAACAATAGCCGTTGGTGGTTCAATATAATGTTCAATAAGATCAACTATATCTTCATAAATAGTTTTCGATTGTTCACCAACTGGATTACGAGTAATACCTATAAAATCAGAGAGAAATATAATTTAATATTTAACCCATTCTATCAAATTATAAGTAGTTACCTGGTAAATCAATAAGTGTTAGATCAGCTTGAATATCTTTCTTATAGACAGTTAAATAAATCGATTTCGATGAAACATTCATATTTGCACCAGCTAATTGCACTGTACAATCTGTTACCTTGTCCATGATCTCCAAAAGGTTGTTGATTTTGATCTCGGACATGCCTTCACATCGAATAGCAGCATATTCTGTTTCAGTAGATGAAATATTTTTCAAACGTAATTCGAGTGGACATCGAGTACAAATATTTTGTGCTCGTGGCAATTGAACTCCACTCAACGCTTCGAGAACAGATGATTTACCAACCTTAGAATATGCGAAAGATGAAGTTTACATGGTTGTCACAATGTGATTTTACTTACAGATTGATCGCCAACAACAACAATATGTGGAAGAGAAATTTTCTCATAATGTAATATTTCTCTCATTTCATCGACGACTTTGAGAAGATGACGAGATTCAGGAGTATTTAATTCGTTGGTAAGCATTTTTAAGTCGATATCTTATGATTATTCTACGATGAACATTAGTATATTTATTGACTGCCCAAGTGAACAAAAGCGAAGATGTTCGACATGACTAGTCTGAAATGTTCGTAATACTCGTCGTGTCTAGTCTTACACAATCGTCATGAATAGTCATCTTTAGGAGAAATGTCGTTTATCCATGCTTGGACTAGTCCAGAACGTTTTTGAATTCCGTCATATCTAGTCCGTTTTACCTACCCCATCTATACTAGTCTGTAGAACAGAAAAATAATAAGTAAAAGAAGAAGAAATATGGATTTAAACATTTCATCGGTCCTATAGTATATAACATCTGACGAATGTGCTGAGGTTATTTTAAACAGTCTCATGAGCAGATTGACAGGTATCCATCTGCTAGGTGATTTGAAACCTGTGGAAGACGAGCAACTTGACTAGTATAAAATGTCTTGAATGGTAGTCAGGACTAATCTGAAGTGTCATCCATAGACGAGAAAAACAGTTCATTTGTTTTTTGAGAATCCTACATTAATTCTTGTTCACACTAGTCTAAAAACTTCAGTTAACTTATTTTGTTTGAACTAAACTGATTTGCTACTTCGTTGAACTGATCCATGACGGAAAGGAAAAGAAGTAGAATGTAAGACAACGAACTTCTCAATATATCTATTATAATTAAAAACAACCGATGAATAATCAGATATATTCAGAATATGGATCAGATATGGGTGTGGGTGTGGGTGTGAGCGGAAAAAGAATCACACCCACCCCAAAATATGAATTGGCTGAATCATAACTTTAGGCAAAACACAACTCGATTATGCCAAAGTTCATTGAGATGAAGGATAGCATACTGAATGATTACAGAAATGTGTATAACAGGCTATTATAGAAGTTCAAACAACAAAAAGAAGTGCAAAAAATCATATTAGAAAACAATAAAATGAAAACAGAAAACCAAAAGTGAGAGCATAGCAACATCACAAACAAGGGACATAATGCTAATAAAAAATAGAAAAATACTCAATATAAAGAAACAAGTAAGTCCGAGCCATTCACGAATGATTAAATAGTGTTGAAGAGCAACTGTCATTTATCATAGGTACTTCATATTATGTATTTTGTATCTATATATAGAAAGGGAAGAAAATGTGTGAGTTTAACATTTCAGTTCATTAAGGGTTGCATTAATAAGTTTTTCATTTATATTGACCTTTGTATTTAGTAAAATACGTTAGTACGCTAGTGCTAAACAGTCTGCAGGCTATATATACGAAGAACAAAATAAAGCATTCTATCGGTTTATAGTTTCTTTCACTATGAAATAGTACTAATGTAATTGTGCAATTTCTATTTCTGGTTGAGATATAGTAGTTTCTATGAAAAAAAAAATTACTTTTTGCGATTACAAATTTCGCTGCTATCAAACTATGAAATTCTATAATCTCAAAAGTTGCTTATACATGTTGATGTTTTACGCGATGCAGCCAACCATAATTTCACTGAAAAATTGTCTTCGGAATAATTAATACTGATGGATAGCAATTACATTTGTGCTCGCCACGATATGTATCTCACACGGTGAGAAACATTCTAGTTAAACGCGCTTGCACTCAAATATTTTGACTAGTTCTCTGATATTTATATCTATATTATAAATATCTTGAAATTCGCGAATATTCAAGCCTAAATGATATATAAGTTAATCATATGAGTATAGGTATGAGTGTGGATGTAGAACGCCTCTCGCAAGAGAAAAGAAAAGATTAAATCTAATTCAATGTCAATATTTACGTGGGGTTTGATATTTTTTCTACTGAAAGAAGAAGTACGAATAAATCTATCGGCATGCTGCATTTAATGTGCATATATTCGTATAAAATGAGACAGCTGCATTCGATCCAAGATAAATGCAAATGTCATATTATTTTGTATCGTCCATGAGATATGCGCAAATCATTTTACTTCCTTTTAACTTTGAGTTGTGTGCCGATTTTGACGTAGTTAAAATTTTGAGATCAGCAGTTGCAGATTGCAGAAACAATTCTTGTAGAAATATCTGATGTCGATTGTTTCGGAATTAAATAGAAAATTTTTGCTGCTTCATTTAGTTTTTTCGAAAGGTGTATACACAATCCTTGGTAGAAAGAGGTAATTTCTTTTGCTCTCTAAAATGCAATCATTTTCTTCGTTGTGAGTCGCTAGTTTGAACATGTGGGAACCATAGTTAACTGTGATGACAAACATCATCCGGTATAAGTCTAGTTTATGTAAACATCTTTGTTTTTGCGACTTTTGAGGATGAAGATTATTTATATAAACTAGACTTATACCTCTGTAATGTACCTTTCTTTTACTTCGAACACTGTCACTCTACAATATCCTTGCTCGAATTTCATTTAGTTTTTTTTAATCAGATATGAAAATTAACGATCATACAATCAATAGCAAGTGCGGTACAAATGCGGACGAAACGACAGATGATAACAATCTGCAAAAACCCAATATTTACAATAAATATTTACCATTTTATGAATCCATCAAGCGACAAGGATCTAACACTTTCAATGAAATTCGAGAAAATTTATCTCGTACCATTCAATTGAATGAATTACAACCAGGCTTTGCATTTTGGTCAAATGAATTGCAACGATTCATTTCTCTCTACAGATTCTATTTCACCAAAGTCGATCATCTCAAACTCATTAATTTTTATATGTCAATTCTCACCATTACCGATCTACATTACACAAATGTGGAAATATGTTGTGAATTACTTTCTGAGCTTTTACGGTTCGTATTTAAAATTCTTCAAAATCCCATTGAGAAACTATTCAATGATGCTATTTTGTAGAAAGACTCGTTTAATTACAAGAGATGATCTGATCATTGACTGGCGTACGCTCTATCGATGGGCTAAACTGATTCATAATAATCATGATGAAATTCATGCACTAGTCACTTTGCCAGAGTTTGTAGTTCGAACATTTGAATATGAAAGGCATGTATTGTTTTTCTTTCCAGAGGTCTTGAATTTTCGGTCCTGTGGTGTACACATCGTTGCTCTCCATACTTTTCGAAAACGGCCACTCAAGAAATTCTTGAATTATTTCGTCCACAATTGTGCCCAATCGATTCGAACTTTTTTCATATCATTAAAATACTAAGCTATTTCTTGCCATTTAATCTACCTCCAGATTTACACAGTCAAGGATTCAAGTATGTATTTGTCGTTTCTTCTTCACAATATGTACCGCTTTTTTTTTACTTTAGATTATGGCTACCAGAATTTTTCGATATTTGGCAAAGTATCTACAACAGAGCAGTGTGGGAATTGGTAAGTATTTTTATTAATCATATTTCCTGGTGTGAATGATTCGATTTAGTATATGATCACCATCTTTTCATCAGTGGCCTGGAACAATATTGGCCATATCGATTGGGAACCGTGGTTAGCGCAGGTGTCAGAATATTTTTAAATATATTTCGTTGAGAAGACCACATTTTTTTTCTTTGTCTGATAGATCTTTACGCGTATACTCAGAGGTTTTGCACTGCCGATTGGCAAAATGCAAATGTCTCCACAAAAATATAATTATTCTCCGTCTAAAATTGCAAAATGGATCGTTGCCATGTTGGGCAACGGAAATTCATGTCTTCAATATTTGTGCGATCTATTTATTGCAATCAAAAGTTTCTATCATCCGTCCAATACAGGAAAGTTTCAAGAAAATCTGGTTAAATTCATCTTGAATCTTGCTGAATATTTTGTCGATCGTGTTCGTTTGTGAGCATAGATCTCGCACGTATGTTGAACAGCTCATTTAGTTAGACTTTTTTTATTAGAGAACGCAAAGCTCATTCTCTTTGGTGGTTTCAACTGCACGAATCCTATCGGCTAACAGAACAGAACATCACGGATTTTGTTAATTGTATCAAAGACTATGCCTTCATTTCTATTTTCAATAAGAAACATGGAAAAGAAGCGACAGAAGCTTGTCAATATCTTTCTATGCTTCGACCACAATTAATCGTACCACCCATGGTTGAAAAGTCAGAGGCTTTTGTTGTTCAATTTTTTTTTTAACTCACAAATTCTTGATTCATTTTTAGATTCTTTTCAGCCATTGATAATATTACTGAACCTCATCGTTTCACATCAATTCTGAATTGTCTAATACATCTTACTCGTCAAATAGTTCGACAAACATCTTCTTATACTCAGGGGCAAACGTATGTGTTACCATTACTTATGTCCGTATTACCGGGAATTGATTTAAATGATTCCAAAAAAACATTTGCAACATTGGACTTTCTGAATAATGTTTTCTCACTTATCGTCTGTGTCGATTGTTCATCGGCAATACACATTCGAAATGATCTGACAGAGGTGAAACTTTACTTTGATTCTAACAACAAAGAAAGAACAGATATCTTTTATTATAGACCGAAAAACAAGTATGTTTATCAACGATACATTTTGAAAATTTTATTAGTACATTTCTCAATCGAGTGTTTCGAATGATTGAACTATTATCGACAGATGTGTCCGATGCTATGGTGATTATTGACGAAATTAACACTGAAAATAGAAGCATCGAATTAGTACTTCAATCAATTCTGCGTAACATTGTTCAACAGTGTAGTAGCAAAATCTATCAAGTATGTATAGATAGTAGTGACTGAAACAATCAAGAACATTTGTTCGATCTCAATTCATTTACAGATATATTTAATGTTTTGTATTCATGTCCTATTTAGTTGATTCGAGAGAAGATAACAAAATTTCTTTCTGGCGCATATTTTTCACCCAAAGTCAGGGGTCTTGTCTCTGCTCTCGTTCGAGCAATGATCGATGGTAATCCTGTCGAAACACTCAAGTATCTCTTACCTAAAACATGTGAATCCATTGAAAAGATTATGAATAATGTCGACACAACTGAATTATTTATCAATGGCAAAGAAGATCTCGAACTTATTTGGTATTTAGTTCTTTTCTCCGAACTTGTTCGTGCTCATGGTGATATTCTACTTGTCTACAAACAAATGATTATGTCAATTTTTCATCGATGTATTCCTATCATTCACAAAGATTCATATGAAATCGTGGCTAATGCAGCCAAACGTTTACTCGAATCACTCTCTTGTGTATATCCAATCGAGTATCGATTAACTACGGAAAATCTCGACGAATCATTCATCAACTTTTTGCCGATTCGAGTAAGAACATTCTTCTTCTTCTTCTAATTTCATGAATAGAATCAATCATCGATATAACTACTGAGGCATGGGGACAACCTGTCAATTTTGATCAACTTCAAGTTCAATATCATATTCCAGATGCAGAGGAAATTGACTTTGCCTGCGAATTTGTCGATACATTTCTCTATCCTGAATTGACATTATTAAATGAGAAAAAACAGAAATTGTCGAATCATGAACGATCAAGATCGCTTACACTTATTCATCACATCGCTCTCGGATGTTTTCATATGGTACCGTGCCTCAAAAACGAACAAGTATCCAATCTGTAAGTGAAATATTGAGCATAAGAAAGTGTTTGAACAAAGAAATGTTATTGTTACCACAGCATATCATCGGTTGTTTCCTACAATTCAAAATATCGATTTCAAATTTCTATGTATGTCAAAGCACAGAGTAAGACGATTAGATGCAAGAGACATAAAAATCATCATAATGGTTGTTGTTGTCGTTTGCAGAATTTAGAGAAAACTTGCGTATGCGTCTTGTCACCGATATTGGAAAATTACTCGGTGAGTCATTCATGGATAAATGAGTACAATAATAGTGGATTTTTATTTTTAGATATACTTGTAGAAAATCATTCGGATGATGGTTCATCGATGAAAAAAGCGCTTAAGGCAAATATAAACTTACATGAATTTCTATTCATCTAGCAATGATATTTGTTAAAATGTAGATCTTATCATTATCGTCCATCTATTATGGTATATCAAGACAAGATGCTGATGCATGGCGTCGAGCTTTTAATTCTAACAAAAGACTATTCAAGAATAAAATCTGTGATGAACGACAAGATCTTCGATTTTTAACAATTGAAACAATGGCACTACAGATCGAGGTAATCAAAATAAAAAATTCAGAATGAATGTTATTTCAAATAAAAGGAAAACACTTATCTGTCTAATTGAATACAATTAGAGTATTCATATGAAAACAAGTATCCATAGATTTCGCTATGATATTGTTTATTTCGTTGAAAAATCTAATTTTTCGACGGAATTGGGGAAACTTTAAAAAAAAGAAAAATAACTTGTATTTCACATCAAAAGTTTTAGCATTGACAACTGATTTGCATGACAGAGATTTCCGTCAACAAAACTTCTATCAAAAATGCACCTAATGGAATCACGATGAAATTTATTGGAAAAAATGCTAAAACAACGTATTGATGACACTTTTGTTGTATCATAATTGTTTTAGTGTTTAAATTAGAAAGAACTCATTACATGCTAGAAAATGATAAATTTAGTTTTTCTATACTTTGATTTACCTGCAGAATCAGAAGCATTGTAATAATAAACTTTATGAAATAAAACTCATTTGTTTTTTGTTAGGAATCATCATTTTGAAATTTTTCTACTGCTAAAAAATCCTTGTAGGAAACTTGAATTAGTGTTTGTGTCGTTTAATTCAACGAACTCTGTAGAATTAGACATAAGCAAAATATTTTTTTTTCTAATCTTACTCGTTATCTGAATTTTCAGTACTTTCAAAAGACGCTTGTAAGAATAATTATCTATACTTAGGAATTTGTTCTGATTAATTTTGAACCGTTCACAGAAATTGATAAACAAATCGTATTCAGATTATTCGAACTGTCGATTCATCGGTATAGTGAAGTAAGTTGTAAATTTCTGAATAAGATTTTTAGAATTAAATATTTCTATTTGGTCTTTCAGGTACGTCGTACTGCACAAAATGAGTTGTTCTCTGTTCTTAATCGTTATGCTTTCTCATACAATGTGATTGTCGATCATATTGTCGAAGTGTTGAATAGAACGAGCGAAGCTGATCATGATCAAGTCAAGGTTTGTCGAGTCTCTTATTTATTTTGATTTTATTTATTTAACAATTATTTCTCTCTCTCTCTCTCTCTCTCTTAGGGTTGTCTGTATATTCTTCTTGGTAATAATTCATTTTTTCTGCCCACTAAAATCACATGGACAAATATAGAAAAATTGTGGCCATCGATAGCACGTATCAATCCTACTAAAAAAATAAGCATACAAAATTTGATCCAACAGATCAGTCAAAAAATCGGAAAGTTGTTCGTTACGACAGAAATCATTCAGAATACAAACGAGGAATCAATGCATACAGCAGTTGCTCTCTGGCGTCCATTAGAATCGAATGAACTGCAAACAAATAATCAAGAGCATGAAGAACGAAATCAGGCCAATATTCAATCGTACAATAACGTCATGGAAAAACTTAATTCGTTGCTCATCAACGACACATTGCAAGTCTTCTTTCCTTAAATCTTGCAAATTTTTCATTTTCATGTGAACATTCAGGACGTGGAAACAACAACAGACAGCAATGTCATTGATGTGCCATCTTTTTCAAAAACATGTACCAATCTTGCATTGTTGCATTCGAACATGTGTCGATCTTCTCGTTCATGATAATATGAAACTGCGAAAGGTTTGCTGATTCATCATGATAAAATATAATGTTTCATTCGAATTTATTCAGTATGCCATCAAGAGCATTGCAGCAATTTGTCGGTTACAAAAGCCTCCTCTTATCTATGTAGAAAAATCTTTGCATGAAATTTTTCAGAATAACGGCCAATCATCGATAACTATCATCGACGATGGATGTCATCCTGGTGATCGGGATGATAATGCATGGCTAACAATCGATGGCTATATTCCACCCAAAACACAGATCGAATGGGAGCAAACTTGTTTCTTGGATAAATTATTTCATGGCTACAACACATGGCCTAAGATAGTGAAGTATTCAATAAATAAACGAGAACGTTACTCACGAAATAATATGCCAGAACAAGCAGCTATCTTATATAGTCGATTTATGGATAGCAATTTCGTTAAACGATTGACACAATTAATGATATTGGACGATGAAGATGACAATGACGAAACAACGTTAGATAAAACTCGTTTTGCGATGTTCAAGGTAAATATAACGAATACGGAAGATAATTGTACCAAATTCAAAACGATTTTGAGAAGTTTTATATAGGAAGAATAAAAAAACGTTTTTTTTTTCAATCACTGTGGAACGCTTATCAAGTCGCATAGAGATCGAAGCTCGCTTTTGGAATTGAATACATGACGAATTCGCTATTGTCTAGGGTCTTTTTCGGAATTTTGGTCTTGCATTTATTGACAACTTCATGGAGCAAGTGTATGTACTCATTCATGAAAAGATGAAAGAGAAACAAAAGGGTAGCCATCGAGTGGCAGCCGAAATTATGGCTGGCATGATTCGTGGTTCAAAATGTTGGACACTAGAAATGGTAGGCAAAGTTTCTTACCAATTTCAAATCAATAAACACATTTTTGAATAAATGAATTTAGCTTGATGAGCTCTGGGAACATCTGACAACATTTCTCAATGAAGTTTGTATCAATCTCAGTTCCAATACATTCTTGTATTGGGGTTCATGCTTCAAATACGCTATGGTCAGTTGTTTTCCTATCTGTTTTTTGTAGCCTTTCTCGCGCTATATAATTGATGAATCTTTAAGGAAAACAAAGATCCACGTCGCATGTATCGACCAATTCAATTTCTTCGTGCATTGATCAATAATCAAACGTCGGTCAATACTTTAAATGAAGCATCACGTTGGTATCTCATTCAACAGTTGGACATTTTTGAATGGCGCATTCCATCCATCTGGTATTCTATTAATGAACATGTCAAGAAAAAATTGGATCATCCATTCAAAGTTGTACGAGATCGTATGGTCATGTGAGAAACATTTCAAGTTTCATTTCTTGATGTTCAATAAAAAAAAAAGAAACTTATTGTTGTTTAGAATTCTATCGCTGTCGCTCCGTTTCGACTTGACATTGTTTCATGGAAAACCGACACGTCAACCCAGTATCGATCAATCCATCGACGAAATTCGTGAACGATTGCATCAGACTATCGAAACATATGAGAAAACATCACTAGGTAGAACATTGTTTTCTCTGACGTTTTTGTTCAAATATTGCCTCTAGTTAATATGTCTGATCAACTCATTGAAATCAATTCTGAAGTTCGTCAAATGTTAAATTTCATTGAAACAGGTAGAGATGTTGAATTTGTTGCTAATCAATATGACTAGCATTCGCTTTTTCATATCTGGTGACGTAATTTAGTGATTCAAATACATACAAACATTTTCTTCTGGTGTCAACAACCGGTAAAAGATGCAATTATTCGTATTTTTCCCTCTGTAAGTCCGCTAATTGTTTGTCTATTATCAATTTATCACTTTTATCATTTACTAAGCTTTGCACAATTGAAAGTATTGTGGCTAATGATGATATTATCAAGACGAATTTAACAATCAGTCGATTGTATGTGGGAATGGCTTATTTGCATGTGCACTTTTTGGAAGCACTCATTCAACAATTGGAACACGTATGTGTACACAAGATCGGTAATAATAAAAATATTTGTGTCGACATATAGGTTTGCGCGAGTCCCATATGGCATGCACGTCAAGTAGCCATTGAATTTGTTCAAACAATGATCTTTTGTAATTTATTCAATGCTCGTCCTTATGCTAATCGAATACATGATCTTGTATTCAAATCTCTATTTGATGAACAATTTGAAGTGCGAATAATTGCATCGACAACTTTATCAGGTCTCTATCAGTGTGATTACATTCAAGTGACTGAAGAAGATCTGGTAGGGTAATATTTTTTTTTCTCTTTCCGAAGACAAATTTTGATTTGTTTATTTCAAAAAGAAATATTTTCATACAATGAGCAAAACCAATTATTTTACTAAAATTAATACCAAGAAAATAACATCGACGAAGGATATTGTCAAAAGACATGGCGGTCAGTATATATTGTATGTACTTATATAGTGTAATAGATAAACATTCGAATTGTTAGTCATTTATCCGAAATGCTTCTGAACTATTTTGCGTTCAATATTTACATGGGTCATATGCCTATCTTTGTTGACCACTTAAACTATGATTCAAAATTCGACAGATCTGCATCATCTTGAACTTCCACTAGTCGATAAGAGAATATTAGAGGACAAGAAGAGTTGATGAATCAACTAGAATTTAAAAGATCAATCTGAATTAGTATTGCAGTTTTTTCAAGAAACTGATTGCTTGAAACTGCTATCTGATAGATATAAAGATCCTAGGAGAAAAGATCGATCACGTTGTTGAATATTTAGAATCAATCTTTTATACTATATGCACAGTGAAAGTTTCCGAGCAAATATGTAACATGTCATCATTTTAGGTGTGTTGGGTCTCTGTGCCATCGTTCTCTCGAGTCCATATGATATTCCAACATATCTGCCAGACATATTAATGCTTCTCTGTGAACACTCACACGATCCGCATATGATACAAGTGAGTATACTTTTCTAGCAGTTGTTATGTGTTAATAGAGAATTCTTTGTTTTCAGAAATCGATTAAAGAATGTCTATCTGATTTTCGTCGTACTCATCACGATTCATGGCATGAACATCGAAAAAAGTTGACTGATGATCAACTTGTCACGTTGACTGATGTACTCTTTTCCCACAGTTATTATGCTTGAAAACATCATTTTGATGAATTGTTGACTTAAACATAAAACGAACTCGTTATATATTCTTACTCTTTTCGATTATTTTCTCTGAATAAATGCTCAAAATCAGTATTTTGTCTTCCTTATTACGATCTTGAAAATACTTTTTTTGAATTTTCGATCATGCTGACCTAAATGCACACCATGTGTTGTGAAAATAAGAGCTGTGACTCATTGCTGCTGTGGTTCAAGGAAAGATAGTCGAATTAATCTGATCATAGTCAGAAAATTGTTGCTAAAAAGAATAGATCTTGATTTTTGATTAGCAGAGGGAACAGCTCGAATTGGTTCATTCATGTGGTACTATCAAAATCTTATGAATATAACTCATAGATACGATGCCAAAATGCTAGAGGCTTTGCCTTTGCTTGAGGTCAAAACCCTAGCAATTCTAAAGTTGCCGTTTCGAGCTAAAGATTTCAATCATTATAGCTAGTTGATCTTGTTTGTCCTCTTCTTAGATCGAATTAGAGATTCAATTATTTATCCCTTATTATAATATGCGCCCATCAATGCTGAAACATCATAGCCGATTTTGTGCGAATAGTACGAGGCCCTATATAAGCACGACAATTGTGTTCGGATGCATAAACACTATGGGCGCCTTCATTCCTTCAAAACTATTGACATCACTTTAAAACAAAAAACAACATTGCTATAGAGTAATAGAACCAATGTGATTGAACGACCTCGTCAGATAGGTCTACATATTTGCCACTCTTATGAATAGGTTTCAATGTAATATTTTCATGAGAAAATGAAGTGTATTCAGATTTCGGCGATTTCCGTCAACTCGATAATCACACAGCAGTGCAAATCAAAAACACTCTTCAAATTCGTAGAATGGCACTGCTATTGGTCCTTGTTTTCAACTTATTTGTGGCTACAAATGTAGGCTATTTTACCATTGAACTTGGAAAATTCTTATGGAACTCAAAGTTGGGTAAAAAAGTCATTGTTTGAACTACTCCAATATCTTTCCATATACCATTTGAGAGTGACACCTGTCATTTCTATTACACAACAATAGCGTCAAATTCAAGTCATTTGATAAAACTATGTTTAACATGTTCTAATCAATCTTATCATGTGCACTTTTGCCTCATTGTCCGTCGACATTTATTAATATTTCAATTATTCATTTCGTTTTTTTTTTGGTATCTTTATCCTGTTGTAAAAATATTCATTTTGATGTTGTATAATGTCATTTAATGAACTCATAATATTGTGTTTATATAAAACTCAGGATTCATTCATATTTTGATGTTTCTTCTCTTTAAAATACTTTTTCAAATATAACAAAATTAGTATGTAAGCAATTATTTCACAAATATACAAACCGATATATAATTAATTTGTTTTTCGTATTCATGAAAGTCTCATTTACTCAGTATACTTTATACATTATTTCAAAATGAATCTTTTGAAAAGAATAATATTGTTTTATCTTGTTGTATTTTTACTTCGCATTGAAATTAGTAATGGAAAACTAAGTTCAATTCTACCATATACAATCATTCAGTTGAACTCACAACAAATATTGGTGATCTTTCGTGGATAACAAATGAAATAAAACAAGAAATTCTCTTTAAATTACATATTCATACAACCTGAATGGATTGCTTTAGATATCAGTTCATGTAAGTATCTATTTTAATAGAATATTGATCTTCAATGTGTTAAATTTAGTTGATGGAATAAGTGATGCTGATATTAGTGTTGAATGAGTCGATCAATCTGGTAATGCACATTATTCTGGACATGAGCTAGAAATTTGCGCGCCTTCTTACAGATCATAACAAACATTGTTGATATACCGTATATCAATAAAGTGCCAGAGCCAGAATTTGTGGCTAGGGCTGAGCCTCCTGACTTCGTCACTGTATCAATAACGTCTTGTTATAATATATGAATTGCTTCCTTTTTACATTTCTGGAGGACTAAGTAAAAAGATGACGAAGGAATGTATGTCACAATAAATAGAATAAAACAATCTTCATATGATAAGCAAGAGTAACTACATTGTGTTTCATATTTTAATCCCATAAGAATTGCACTAGCAGCTTTTTATTTGATAGATTGTATTATTATTAATTTAGAATATTCTAATATCTGAAATTACAATTATATCAGCTTTTCTACATGCTCATTTACAATGCAAAATAAGAAATAAATTATTTATTAGAATTATTTGAAATATAGGTCGAAGTATATGGACAAAAATAATTCGAAATAAAAAAGTTGTAAAATATTTATTTAATGGTGAATCATTCGATTTTCATTATCAATTTCAAAATCGTTTTATAGAACCAAGTAAATTATATCTAGTAAGAAATAAATAGTTTATTTTTTCATTTCCATCTATTCTATGAATATTTTAGGGTGATGAGTCTGCGACTCGATGTGTTTATAATACAATGAATAAAACGAGTATTACTTTAGTACATTGATCAATAAAAATTTATTTGTGATATTAAAGTTTTTTTTTTTTGTTTATTTTTAGGGAGGTGAAAGTGATAACTTCTTCATGGAAAATGTTAATGAACAAAAATTTATCGTAATTTAAAATGAATATTATCATTTTGTTTATAAAACAAAAAAAAATTAAATTTTATTCTATTTTTAATTATTTAGATCGATTTTTGATGATGACGAATTTAAAGAATGGTTAATGAATATTCATTGGACATCACAATTAGCTACTCAATAGCAAGAATTTTATAATAATGCTTCACGTTTGGTCTTATTTGATCGAACAGAAAATCTTCATAATTTAACGTTGATTCAATTACCAAAATATGAAGATTTCAAACAAAAGCAATGTAATAGAACATCAAATGGCAATGATAGTACAAATATTCTTCCTAGTTTTAATACGAATATTTTCTTCGTGATAGGCTTAATGATATTAATAATATATTTAATGTTTCGAAAGAATAAAAATATTAAATAATTTCTTTTTCAGTCTACACTATGTGACTTAATACAACTAATAATTATAACATGAGTAATACTAAAATTTATCTTTACATTTAAACATCATGTAATACTATCAATGCATTGACGAATTCGATACAAAGAAAAACTCTATCATTCAATGATACAAGTGATATCCGATATCATTAAATAAATAAAATGACGATATTTATAGGACTTGATATTAGCGTACTTTATCTGACAACATGAATACTTTTATAGTTTGATTAGTGTAAAAACAAAACTTTAACTAAAAACTCTAAGATAATGTCAGAGTAACTATTTTGAATATATTGAGATCCTCTTTGCATGAATACATAGTAGAATGTCTCGTCTATAATAGGATGTGAGCTTGGATGAGGGTATGCGTCTGCGTGTGATTGTTGTCTTCAGTTGACCAATTCCTACACCGTTCTTGTACAATCTGACATCTGAATTTTTTTTATTACATTTTGATCTGATTCGAAACAACAGTATCGAAAATGATATAATTGCATGTAATTCAGAATAATATCTAGTAATATATAAGAATGAAAGCTACATTCTACCACTTTCGTTTTATTCTGTTAGTATGTTTCCAGTTTATCTGTATTCTCTATCATACAAAAAAAAACAATACATCTGGACGGTAACTTTAACTTTCTCATAATGATAAGTACAGAAAGTATTTGAAGGTCGACATTCAATTGCCACTTTGTGATCCATTAAATCATAGATTTATATTCAATCAAGAAAAAATATATGTATTCATCAATCTTCTATTTATTATTACTAACAATATTAGTATTGATCAATGGTCAGCGTTATCCATCCGATGATCGAGGATTATGTCTTTGTAAATGCTGCAAAGGTAAAGATTGTTATGCAACAGAAACAAAAGGAAGTTTTGCACTTATTAATGGTAATCGATGTTATGATTCAAAATATGCTTGTATATCAATGAATTGTGCAAAACAATTTCCAACAATGTGTTCTTTGCATTCAAATGATGGAAATATTCTTGCTGAATGTCGTCCTATGATTTCTTGAAATATCTAATATTCAATTCATTTAATCACCAAATATTTCGTATGTTCTATTTATGTTAAATGTTCTTTGTCTCGAATAAATTATTCTGTGTCAATTTTATTTCTCTATAATAAGGTATATATGCATAAATTGAGAACAAAGAAGTTTTTGAACGATTTGCTGTTAATAAAGAATACGCATCACATGACATATGTGTTATGTCAATAATACAAGAGGTAATAACGTGTGACACAAACATCTGAAAGACAAAAAAAATGAGTAAATCATCATATGACGATATTCAAAGATTAGCTTAGTATTATAAAATGAATTCCTGCTTTTTTCGTGTATGGAACATAAGAAAATTATGTCTAGTATATTTGTGCACACTCTCTTGTATAGGAGACAATAAGCCGATGGTTTATTCCTATGATGCGTGAGGCGAACTTTGCATCCACACATTTCACTTCAATGTCTCAAAGGAAGAGAAAGAGGGAAAGTCTTGTAGTTACAGCAACACGCAGTCACCATAGCATCTGCACAAAACATTGCAGAAATCTTGGCATTGGTGAAAGGATTTGTGCTGCATGAAGACCATCTTCTTTCTATTAGAGGAACGCGTTCTGTTCATTCTGTTATTTCGCGGTATTGTCAACATTTTTCGTTCATTCGAAATGGTTGCTCGATTCTCTGGAAGCTAAGTTTGAAATGTGCAAGGACAGGGGACATTTTGGCTCAATTAGAAAACATAGGTAGTTTGAAATGAAAGTTCCAGCAATTGTAGAGCCCAGAGTTAGTAGTCACTCCTAAACGTTTCAATTTGATCGGTCAAACTTTTGTCGTATCTTGGTGCTCTGTTATTCCTGGTTCAAAATCAGCCCATGTAGTGAAAATATAGGAGAGATATTCAAATTCTTTCCTTCTGTAAAATGAATGTTGGATTACTCTGTACTTCTTATCAGTTATTTCTGCTGTGCCTTATATAAATTTATTCCTTCTTGTTGATTTCATTTTCTTTTCTTCTCATCAGTCGCATCTAAGAAAAGAGAAAGAGCTAGCTGTATAATGTTTTCTTTCCAGAACAATCATGCACTTATTGATTCTCTGCGTACGCTTTTTCTTTCTCCTTCCGAAGAATGTCCTAAAAGAACATATTTTTTCTCGCTCTTCCATATCGCATGTATACACATACTTATTTGTCTTTTATCTTGAAGTGTTGAATTGGTTGTTATTGTGATATTATCGGTTTTATTTTCTCGTTTCCATATTTGGCACTGAGAGAAATGGCCGTGTGTGAGTGTTATTGCGTGTGTGCGTTTGTGCATGTGAGAATGCGGATCATAGTGTGGGTATGGGGTGTGAGGTAGTGATCTGCGGGGAACTCTGAAACTCGATTTTAACTCCGATGGAGTCGAAGTCAGCAAAACGAAATTCTCTGGAGTCGAACTCGGAGTTGGGTTTACTGAAAAAATTTTTCGGAGGCAAATCGGAGTCTAAAATATAACCACTTCTAATGAAGTTTTGCTGTTTGATACTACAATAACTTTATTTTTCATATTAACAAACAAGAAAAGCGAAAGACAGCATTCACTACATGTATTAAGAATGAATTTCAGGACAAAAAAAGGATCATCTTTTGGCTATGATATTCGAAAGGTCAACCTCATAAAAACATAATACCATTAGTCAAAAAATATTCCAGTATCATCCAAAGTACAATAATTCTCGTCGTCATCAATTATCGCTTGCTTGGTAGAATCCTTCACGGACTCGATTTCGGAGTCGTCGTTGGTGTCGACTAAATTTTATGCTAAAAATTTCGCTTTAGCACAGGAATTTTTTTGAACTGTAGGTTTTGTTCTCTGATGTTTACTGTATAAACTGATGCATTTTGGAGGTTGCAACGACTTGTTATCAAAACCTATGGGCATGAAAGAAAATCGGAGTCAAGTTCAACTCCGATTTCATTAAATTCCAACTTTCTTTCATATCTATAAGTTTTAATAACCAGTCGTTGGAGCCTCCAAAATGCAACAGTTTATACAATAAATATCAGAGAACAAAACCTATCATTCAAAAAATTTCCTATGCTAAAGCGAAATTTTTAGCGTAAAATTTGGTTGATTTCAATGACAACTCCTAAATCGACTCCATGCAGGACTCTATTGCTTGGGCATAGTACATGCCGAATATTTCCAAGTTATTGTTTTTTATTTTTGCTGCACAACAAATGAAAAAGAAATTCGAAATTAATCTTTTAAGGATTCTTTGATTTTCTTTTTTTCCTTTGTTTGTTTACCGATTTACACATGTTCAAAATTAAACAATAAAATACATTCGAGGCCGTTTACGTTCGAGAAAACAATTTCGGAGTTTAGGGAAGTTTTACGAAGTTGGAATCAGAGTCAAAAAATAGAAATTTTCGGAGTCGAGTTTCGGAATAAAAAAACCTGACTCCACAACAGAGGTGTCCATAGCGGCGCTGCCGCTGCCGCGACGCGATCGCCACGGCGGCAGCGGAAGCGGCAATTTATCTACTTTGGCGGTCGCGGCGCGGCAGCGGTGAAAATTTTCGAAAAATTTCTCCAATTTTTTTCGATTAAATCTTAAGGCTTAAAATTATAATTCTGTCGTGATTCAAATTAGTGAGAATGTTTTTCTCGATCAACAGACTTTTAAGGCTATTCCATCGACTACCAGAAAGAGAAGTATTAATATTGTGTAAATAAATTATGTTATCTGAAAACATGTTAATAGCAATTATAGAATATGTATGCGGTTCTGTTTTAATTGACGTGCGTTTTTATCATTGTCAACCCTGTTTCATAGATACAATAAAAACAATATATTTTAAAAAAATCGATGTGCTTTTAATAATGAGCGATGCAAAAGTCTTTGCACAAATATCAAGTCCTGTTAGACTATATTACCAACTTCTGAATAAATCAAATTTTTTTTTTGTTAGAAAGAGCAAAGTCTGAACTACAAATTTTGTATGAGACATATTTTTTCAGAACGAATCTGAGACGGAGGAAAAGCCAAAAAGCAAAACCTCTAAAAAAGTTCTTGCAACTTCACCATCGAGCAACATCATTTTCTGTTTTCTGTTAGCTTTTTTTTTATATTAGAACAGGAGTGAGAAAACACGTTCAATGATGTTTTTGTAGTGAAAATAGTGCTCTTTCTAATGATGTATTGGAAGTTAAATCTATTCCTAGATTTGTATCAATAAATAGCTTTTTTCTGAAAGAGACTGAGTCATTTGGTCGTTCTCACTACTTGATCGTTTTACGGCGACAAAAAATATTTTTTGAATATATTTTTTTCTGCTAAAATTCTATGATTAGATATATTTCGACCAAATAACGCGAAAAGCATTCAGTTCATGCATGATTTCTGGAGATGATGGCTGATATTTTTGTAAACTGATAGTTCTTGAAAAAGGCTCAATTTTGCAAAAATTTCGTGTTTCAAGCTTGATTGATTAAAGAGCCAAGAATGGATCCAAAATGTTTCTCAAAGCTGATATTATAGAGTTTTTGATGCGCTACATTTTGGTGTATTTTTTCTTCAAATTTGACCCATGTAGCTTAAAATAATTGAGAAATAGAGACTTTTCAAGTTGCAAAAAGAGTTCAAGAACTTTTTTACAGGTTTTGCCTTTTAGATTTTCCTCCGTCTCAGATTCGTTCTGGAAAAATATGTCTCATACAAAATTTGTAGTTCAGACTTGGCTCTTTCTAACAAAAAAAAAATTGATCGACTCAGAAGTTGGTAATATAGTCTAACAGGATTTGACATTTGTGCAAAGACTTGGATCGCTCATTACTTAACATCTTTGAATCAAATAATAAATTTTTTTTTATCATTTTGTAGTTTTCCTCATGATGAATATTTATTAAGTGGATTCTGATCGATTTTTGAAGAGTCCGACAATTTTATTGCGCACTCTATTAAGCCCTCCCCCCCTCCCCTTAGAAACGAACTTTGTTATTTTTCATCCGATTTCCACCAAAATTTCAGAGAATTATAGTCTTGAGTAGAATAGCTTATGGTAAAAATATCTCCCCCAAATCTCAAAGAAATGCACAAGTTCTAGTCAATTCATTACCCTTTACGCGGGCAAGAATTTCACAATAGGGATACGAGCTAACAAGCTTGGGGTGGTTTTCAAGTTGTAGAGTACCCTTAGCGCTAGATCCTCACAGGGCCCGATTATTGAATTTCCCTTTGTTTGTTTTTTAAAAAACCTTTTTCGTAAAATTCACGATATCATGCCAGAAAATATTGCTAACAAAAATGAAATATCTAAGTTTTTTATTTCACCAAAAGAGAAATTCAAAAATCGGATCCTGTGAGGATCTAGCCCTACCTCTCTAGTATGTATTTTAAAAAATTATCACTTCTCTATTGAGTCATTGTTAAAAAAATGTTGCCCGTGTAAACAGTATTCTCGAAAAAATCGATTTTGAGAAAAACGAAAAACAAAATTTTTTGATGCAGCAAGTGTCCTTATTCGAAATAAGTCTGCTTATCTTCCTAATATTTTCGCAATATTCCTCAAGCTTTATTGATAACCTGTATGTGGATATATCATAATACAATTAATAGTACATATCATGCCTAAATTGTAGTCATGAGTCCCTATAGGTAGATGTCACTTCGGGTCCCCACACCTACACCCACACCCGTCCTCCTCAGAAAAAAAATTCGTCAGAAAGGAAGACCAATGTACACGTTTTGGCAAAACAAATTATGTCAGGTTGTAGCTCATCACAAGGACTATCAGAATATGTATAAATCTCAAAATCGAATTTTTTCCGAAAAATTGACTTTTCCGAGGGAGGGGCTCCCCTTAATATTCTTTAGAAATCTATAGGATCCATAGAATCTATCGGAATCTGTTTTTCACCCTTGTATTTGGTGCAGTAACTCATGAACTTTATAATACATATTTTTTTATTTTAGAGACGGACACATTTTCTAGACTATTTTTTGTATTGTCGCGGCAGCGGCGTGGT